TTACCCTCTTTAATTCACATACACTTGGTGGTTATGCCAAAGAGGAGTCACTGTTCTGTGCTGTATGAATGAGCACAGCATCAACAGCAGCAACAGTCCCCAAGTTAGAGTTTAAAATACATATGATTATTTTCTCTTTTTTTCTTTTTTTCATTTTATTTTGTTTTAGAGACACGGTCTCACTCTGTTGCCCAAGCTGGAGTGCAGTGGTGTGATCATAGGTCACCGTAGCCCCAAACTCCTGGTCTTCAGCAATCCTCCTACCTCAGTTTCCTGGGACAGTCACGACCACATTCAGTTAGTTATCTTTATTATTCTTTTTAGTAGAAATGAGGTCCTGCTATGTTTCCCAGGCTGGACTCTAACTCCCAGGCTCAAGCAATCTTCCTGCCTCAGCCTCCAAAAATGCTGGGAGAGCAGGCATGAGACACTGTGCCTAGCCACATGATTACTGTTTTTATGTGCTTGGAACATAGGAATGCACACATTTTCACATGAGACAATGGTGTTTGTCATAAAGAAACTAAGAAGCACATTTATACTTTTGTTCTATCTTGGTGGTCTACAAATGAGCTGTCATTGAATTCTAATATAATAGTTTGATATATTTTAAATTTTGATAATTTAGATTTAACAACACTAATAACAAAACCATTCCATGTATCAGTTCTATGCTAGAAGGAACCATCCACAAACATTTATTACTAAATAACGTTGTTTCTCGTCATTTTTTTCCTTAAGTAAAATTGAAGAACTAGAGAAGAAACACAGAAGTGGAAAGAAGACTTACCCTCCTAGAGGAGAAAAAAGTCCTCCTATTTCAAACAACTATGGACACACAAGTGTTTTGCAGATTGTTTATGATCCCCTGAGAAACTTTATAATGAGGAAAGTCAGCCACCGTGCACAGATGAGAATGACTTACATAGTCAGACCTTGATCCAAAGCGTGTCAAATGAATATGATTGCAAACATTCAAACACACACACACTGCCATATTAGATGCGATGTGTTTGTTGTCATTTTACTCTGCTTCCATATTCATTGCTTAAACATTGATTTTCAGAGTAAAACCAAAGTGATTTTGTTCTGGATTAACTACTTTTTCAGTGCCATGAACGTTTCATACAAAATGTATTTCATGTTAGAAGTGCATATTTCCTATCAGTTTCACATCCTCTTTGAAATAGTCTGAAATATGCCATAGGACAAGCGCTGTGGCAGGTGAATGTGGGTCACTGTTCAGTCTTTCCTACCTACTCACCCTCTCCACGGTGACATCGGGCAGTGAGGGAGGCTTAGCTCTTTCCAGTCCCAAGCCCTGCAGGGCAGACTATAAAACAGATTCTGGGACTGAGTTGGTTGATGTGGGAGGGGGTGGCAACAGGCAGAGGAGAATGTGGGAAAGAGAGGGAGATATCTGTTTCTGAAGGAGGAGACAGTCAGGTCAGACATCAGGAGCTACTGGGGAGGGAGTGGCCCACAGGGGAATGGGCTCCCTACCTGCCTGGACACTGGCCCTTCCCTTGGCTGAAGATTCTGGGTGCCCCAGCCCAAGGGCCCCCTCATCCTTCAATCAGGCTCACTGTGGCTCCATTATTTTCTAACAAAATTTTCTTCCCCTTTTCTGTTTTTACCCTAGGTTCATCCTGAAGAGACAAAACCATGAGGGCTCCACGAGATGGACTGCCAATATTTTCAACTGCAGGGCATGTGGACAGATAAATTGAAAAAATGTTTAACTTAGCGCACTGGATTCTGTCTTTGTATTTGATACAACTGTGTCAGGATAGGAATTCACATTCACTTGCGAGGTCTCAGTAGTCTATTTTTGACATGCCCTGATGCAATTTGGGAAAGGTTGGTGGAAGGAAATTTGTTATTCTGGGGCTGGGATTGGGTGGTTGAGTCCGGGAGTTGGGACTTGCAGATTCTAAGGAAATCGTACATAGAGTTTGGGTGGAAGTGTTGAGACATTTTGGGATTGGAGAATCCTACAATTGGAGCATATGGAGCAACAGGGTCCCTTCTGGGCTTTGGACTCTCCTCAAGGAGACTTCAGGACCCCTCAAAAGTCCTTCCAGTAAACCTTATGCATCCTAAGGGAGCAGGTGACTGGAATTGTACTCCTCAGGCTCACAATGGAAGCAGAAATTTCATGGAAATTAAAAATGGTAGTCAGTATTCTGTGGGAATACCACATGGCTCACAATGCTGGCTACTTTCCCCAGCATTCCTTGGTCCCTCTGGGGAAGTATCAGGGGTTCTGTTAATAGAGACCTAGGGTAAACGACAGGTCAAGTGCCAGGACTAGAGCCAGCCTTCTTCCCTCTCCAAAGTGAGTGCCAGCGGGTGGCCACCCCTCTCTCTCCCTGGCCCAGGGTGGACTTGGGGAATTGGAGATCTTAATCCTTCACTTCAAAGCTGTCTCCTTCATTCTGTGGATCAACATAGCAACAGCTGAGGAAGAGGAGGCTGTATTTCCCATGTTCACATTGAGAACTAAAAATAAAATTCTAACCACTGCCCCCCAACCAAGACTGAACCGGACACCCTCTTGGCCAAGGACACCCCAGGAAAACCTTAAAATCTGAGTTTCTGAGCATGATAGGATGGGAGGTCAGACATGCCTCATTAAACTCCTTTCCCTTTTGTGATTTAGACACAACACCTGACCAGCAATGATGGTAAGAAAGAGATCATATGCTGAGAGTGGTGGCTCATGCCTGTAATTCCAGCACTTTGGGAGGCCAAGGTGGGCAGATCACCCAAGATCGAGAGTTCAAGACCTGCCTGACCAACATGGAGAAACCCCGTCTCTACTAAAAATACAAAAATTAGCTAGGCATGGTTGTGTATGCCTATAATACCAGCTACTCAGGAGGCTGAGGCAGGAGAGTCGCTTGAACCCGGAAGGCAGAGGTTGCAGTGCCATTGCACTGCAGCCTGGGCAACAGAACCAAACTCCGAATTAAAAAAAAAAGAGAGAGAGAGAGAGATCATAAAATTGACAGAATAGACTCTTGGTGGCAATAAGATACCAAATTACAAACAGGACCTAAAGCCATGCCAGGCAAGGGTCAAGCCCTGCACTCCTACACTCAATCAACTGTGTTCTAATGCCACAAAGTTTTTCTTTTTCTCTAGAGGCCAAACAACACTGGCCTCGAGATGAGTAGTGTTAAAACAATCCCAGTTCACCCACCAATAGGCACTAAATAACAGACCCTCCCATTCTACAAGCAATAGCCATAGCTTTGACTGGACAAGAGACTAATATCAGCAACTTTGCCCTGATGAGAGACCACCAACCACGGATTGCCTCTGCTGGTTTACAAAGGCTGTGCACTTGAATGCCTTCAGGCCTCTGCTTCACCTTTTGATGTATAAAGCCTAATTGTAATATACTTAAATTTTAAATTTCCACCCCAAAGTCAATGTGGGAGGCATGTAAGCTGCATGTTTGTTCAGTACATGTGCATCAGGACCCCATTCATGAATATTCATAGCTCCTCCTGTAACCTGTGGAATATGTGTGTTTAGCCAACCCATTCAGCATAAATCCCTGTTCCACGCTTCCCTCCCTTGAAGTAACTGCCTTTCAGGCTCTACAGGCAGTTATACTTCCTAGCCTATCAGAATAGACATCTTGCAGGCTATAAACCTTTATAAGAAATAAAATATCCTTTCTAAATGTACATATGTGTAATTTTTTTCAATCAACAACTTCTACCAGAGAATTGTACAAGCTGTCATGGAACCCCAGTCTTAGTTCTAGATCCAACTCTCACCTTCAGTTAATCACATCACCTCTTTCATCCCTTTTGCTTTATAGTAAATGAATCTTATATAGTAATGTCATCCTACATTCCTTATCAGGATGGGCATAAATGTGAAGGATATTATATTCTATTTTTTCTTTTCAGAAAATGATGCACTTTTTAAAAATTTTTCAGCCAGCAACTATCTATCTAAAGCCTTTGAACTCACTTCTATAATTCTAGGGGGTGGGTAGGCAGGCATAAAGTCTGTAGGGCAGGCCCTTTGGAAAAGCAGTCAGAAATGCCTGAAGCAGCAGCTGAGCACCGATAGGATTTTTTAAATTTTTATATAAATAAGATAGGGTCTCACTGTGTGCATTAGGTAGTGCACACATTCTTTTCTACACTTAAAGTGTCAGCTGAAAAATTTTAGGTAGATGACCCTTTTATGGGACTCACAGCTGCCATCTTACATTTGAAATTCGAGAGTCCAACTTCAAATCACCCATGTATACCCTAACACAATTTATCAGTAAAAAAACAGCAGCTGCTTAAACTTAGTTCAAGACGCAGGCTGGTCTTGAACTCATAGGCTCAAGTGATCCTCCTGCCTCGGCCTCCCGAAGTGTGAGGATTACAGGCATGAGACACCACGCCCCCCGGATGTGCTTTCCCACTTCCCTCCAGAGAAACCTCAGCTTTGCTCTTGAGCCCACTGATTGAATTAAACCCACTCAGTTAATCCAAAATATTGTCATTCACTGAAAGCCAACTGATTAAATAACCTAATCACATCTAAAAATACCTTCACAGCAATGCCTAGATTCATGTTTTGCTGAAAAAAAAATAAGGAGTGTAGATCAGCCAAGCTGATGCTCTACATCGCAATGATGAAAAGACATGGGTTTCAGAAGAGCAGAGAAAAACAAAAAATACAAAGTAAGGTAAGGACATTCCTATAATGTAGAAAGTAATGTGGCCAAACCAAAATAATTAAACGAGTCATATTTGCAAAGGTATTATTACAGAGACAAAATCACCTAGTAGGATCTATACTTCCACTTAATCTGATTACTTCAAGTTTCTTTCTAACGCTGTTAAATATTCAATGAGGGGATTAAATTAAAAGGTATTTAAGAAAGGGGCGGGTCACCCAGACCCTGTATATATAAAGCCTGTGTCTTTGGGAGCTGCTCAGTTGCCCACTGATCTCTGTGGAGTCTACATCTTCTACCCAAGATGAGTTTGGACGGCTCTTCAGGCGGTAAATTCCCATCAGCTTTTTCTCCGTTCTTTGATAATTCTACATGCTTTGCTTTTTTTCAAAGTGTGTCAAAGTTTACAGCACAAACACAATTAGTGGTACAGATTGCTGGAGCAGCAGCTGTTTTTTACTGATAAATTGTGTTATGTCGTATGGGGTGCTTTGAAATTGAACTCTTGAATTTCAAACGTAAGATGGCAGCCATGGGTCCCATACAAGGGTCATCTACCTAAAGTTTTGCTTTTTGTTGTTGTTGTTTTGTTTTTTTGTTTTCCGTTTTTTGTTTTTTGTTTTTTTTTGAGACAGTCTTGCTCTGTCGCCAGGCTGGAGCACAGTGGCGCAGTCTAGGCTCACTGCAACCCCCGCCTCCCGGGTTCAAGCGATTCTTCCGCCTCAGCCTTCCGCAGTAGCTGGGACTATAGGCGCATTCCAAATGCCTGGCTAATTTTTGTATTTTTAGTAGAGACGGGTTGTCACCATGTTGGCCAGAATGGTCTCGATTTCTTGACCTCGTCATCTGCCCACCTCGGCCTCCCAAAGTGCTGGGATTACAGGCGTGAGCCACGGCACCCAGCCTCCCTAAAGTTTTAAAGTTGACATTTTAAGTATAGAAAAGAATGTATGAACTACCTAATGCATCCTATTGAATTTTATTAAGATGTATTACTTTTCATTACAAAGTACCAGTTTCTCCTGTATCTTACTTAACCTTTTAGATTGTTTCATGAGTTTTACTTCTTTTGTCAATTTTCCTGCTCCCTACTGCTTCCCCTTTTGGTAATTTTGTACATTTTTTGTAAGTTCTGTCTTTGGAAACTTAAGTCATTGATTATAATTTTCTAATACGTACATTTAAGTGTTTATGTATCCAATTTAGTGTGACTTTGGCTGTATGCCTAAAGTAAAAACAGAGTAATAATAAACAAAACAAGGGGGTTAAAGCAGGAGGATCCATTGAACCCGGGAGTTCAAAGCCAGCCTGGGCAACATAGCAGGACATTACCCATGCCATAAAAAAGAAAAAAAAAAATTAGGAAGGCACGGTGGTATGTACCTATAGTCCCAGCTACTCCAAAGGCTGAGGTCCAAGAATTGCTTGAACCCTGTAGGCAGAGGTTGCAGTCAGCTGAGAACAGGCCACTGCACTCCAGCCTAGGCAGCAGAGGGAGACTCTGTCTCAAAAATAAAGAAAAAAAGAAAGATTTAATTGAAATATACTGTGCAGGCCAAAAATAGCAAATATTTACACATGTTTAATGTCGTGAGTGTTCACAAACTAACTACACTTATGGAACTCAGAGAGCATTCAGATAAAGAGAACTTAGTAGCACCCAGAGGCCTACACTGGCTTCCTTTCAGTCTCTGACTGTTCCCTCAGTAGTCGATAGCCTGCCTTCCAATCAGTATAGATTAGTTTTTCCTGTCGTATACATTGCAGTGATGAAATTATAAAATATTCTCCTGCAGTTAGTTCTAATTTTAACAATAAATTCTCTAATCCAGATAGTAAATATATTACACTGTGTGGATCCTAGACAAATTTGAGCCTCAATGACTAATTCTGCAACTGTGGCTTGAAAAGAGCCATAAACAATCCGTAAGTGAATGAATGTGACTGGTGTCAGTAAAACTCTCTAATTACAAAAATGGGCAACTGTTGGATCTGGCCCATAGGCCTAGAGTTAACCAATCCCTGCTTTCATTTGTAATTTTATTATTATGAGTAGCTATGATGTCAGACCTTAATTTCATCTTAGGAAAAGGAGGGAATCTATGGTGCTAATACTGTTTGGAAGTCTTCTTTGGTCTGCCTATTACCAATTGTTGGAAACAGATGCTCAGTGCTGCAAAGAAAAATCAGCACTGAAACAAAGGATCTCTAAGCAAGCAATTTTTACTTCCCGCACTGCAGGAAGGGTACTCTCGCTAGACATCTTGCCACGAGAGTACAATGAACAAAGGAAAAGCAGACAAATTTACCCCTTAGGCATTTGGGGTCATCCTTACTGTTGTATCTGATCTCCATCAGCTGGAGCCAGACCTTACAATCTAAACTAAAATCCGATTGGCTAACAACTTAAATTTTTTTTAAACAGGCAGGGTGCAGTGGCTCAGCCTTTAATACTAGCACTTTGGGAGGCTGAGGCAGGTGGATCATGAAGTCAAGATATCGAGACCATCCTGGCCAACATGGTCTCTACTAAAAATACAAAAATTAGCTGGGTGTGGTGGCACACGCCTGTAATCCCAGCTACTCAGGGGACTGAGGCAGGAGAATTGCTTAAACCTGGAAGGTGGAGGTTGCAGTGAGCCGGGATCAGGACACTGCACTCTACCTTGGAAGCAGAGTGAGACTCAATTGCAGCACAAAAAAAAAAAAAAAAAAAATTTTTTTTGCAGAGTCTTGCTCTTTCGCCAGGCTGAAGTGCAGTGGCACAATCTCGATTTATTGCAACCTCCATCTCCCAGATTCAAGCAATTCCCCTGCCTCAGCCTCCTGAGTAGCTTGGGACTACAGGCCTGCACCACCACACCAGGCTGATTTTTTATATTTTAGTAGAGATGGGGTTTCACCATGCCAGGATGGTCTCGATATCCTGACCTCATGATCCACCCGCCTCGGCCTCCCAAAGTACAGGGATTACAGGCATAAGCCACCAGGAGGGCAAAAAAAAAAAACAAAAAAACTTTTTTAAACAGGTAAGGAACATCAGCTGTGAGCTGGGACCTGCCTGTGAGCACATCCAGCATAGATATCTTGGTTAAAGTACATGGACATAGAATGTATTACGTGCCTGTAAGCATGGTATGTCTAACAGCTACATAGGATAGGGCTTAAAGAGTTATTAGCAAATTTATTCTTTAACAAAAAAGACAACTTTAAAGAGGAACTTTTCTACTTCCCACACCAATATTCTCCAATGCTCTTCTCTCTGCTTACACGTTTGTCAGGTTTCCCAGCTGAAGAGGATCATCATAATGAAGAAAGACAAAGAAAGGAAAAGAGAAAAGCAAAACGCCGACACAAATTTTCTGAAGAATTCTTGCAGGCACTTAAGGAAACATTTGGAGAAAACCCTTATCCAGATTTCAGCACGAGAAAAACATTGGCCAACAAATTTTCTTGTCCACTAAATGTCATTAATGTAAGTTCAAGACCTCATATGTATATTTCATATATATATATTTTTTTAATTTTTTTTTGCCAGGGTCTCACTCTCATCACCCAGGCTGATGTACAGTGGCACAATCACATCATGGCTCACTGTAGCCTCTACTTCCTGTACTCAGGTGATTCCCCCACCTCAGTCCCCTGAGTAGCTGGGACTACAGGCACACACCACCCTGCTGGGATTTGGATATTTTGAAAAAAAAAAAAAAAAAAAAAAAAAGGTGGGGGGCGGGGCGCAGTCTCATGGTGCTGCCCAGGCTGGTCTTGAACTCTTCGGGTCAAAACAGCCACCTGCCTCAGCATCCCAAACTCCTGGGATTACAGGCATGAGTTACTGTGTGCAGCTGTTTCCTAGCAAATTAAAGGGCAGTAAGTACAGATGGAGGTAAAATGCAGGGGACTGGAGAGGAAGGTACGGAATTCAAAGAAATGGGAGAGAGCAATCAAAATATATACATATATACAGTCAATCCTCCATGTCCATGGGGTCCACATGCACAGATTTAACTAACCACAAATGAAAAATATTTGGAAAGTTAAAAAATGAAAATAGGATGGAAGCTGTGCTTAACAAATCCAGCACTGATCACATCACTGCATTCCAGCCTGTGTGACAGTGAGACCCTGTCTCAAAAAAAGCCAGGGGGGGTGGCGGTGAGGGGCGCAAATAACAATACAAAAATTTTTAAATGATACAAATTTTAAAACAATACAGAATAAGAAATATATATGTAGAATTTGTGTTATATTAGGTATCAGATTTTGTTTTGTTTTAGAGAGGACATCTCCCTCTCTTGCCGGGCTGGAGTGCGGTAGCACTATTTCTGCTCACTACAACCTCCACCTCCTGGGTTCAAGCAATTCTCTTGCCTCAGCCTCCTGAGTAGCTGGGACTACAGGCAAGTGCCACCACACCCAAATAATTTGTGTATTTTCAGTAGAAACCTTGTTGGCCTGGATGGTGTTGATCTCTTGATCTCCTGATCCGCCTGCCTTGGCCTCCCAAAGTTTTGGAATTACAGGCATGAGCCACCACACCCAGCCAGGTATCAGGTATTATAAGTCATCTCTTGATGGTTTAAAACATACAAGAGAACACGCATAGTATACATGCAAATACTACACCGTTTTATATACATGAGGGCCTGGGACATCCTGAGACACTGATAGTCATAACCAATTTGAGAGAAAATCGTACACACACACAATATAAAAAATATGAAGAATTAGGCAGTATGTAGCATTTCATCACATAAGAAAATAGTATCATATACTTGTGAAAATACAGTGGGTATGTATTGTGAAAACTAGACTGCAGTCAGGCAAATTTGGAAGCAGTGGATGAGCTGATGCTGCTGTGGTTAGATGGTGGTGACGGTGGTTTGGGCCAGCTTGCTAGCTGTGCAGGTGGATAGGACTAATTAGACTGTAGATGTCCTAGATGGAACTGACAGAGTTTACTATATGTGGAATATGCCGTGAAAGATAAAGTGGACTCAAAGGTTACTTGGATGTTCGACTTAAGTCCATGGAAGATGAGAGCTGCCTTTTACTAAGGAGGAAACCTAGGGAGGGGCAGGTGTGTCAGAAATCAAAATTTACATTTAGAACACGTGAAGTTATAAATGTCAGGTAAACATCCAAGTGGAAACACTAAGTGGACAGTGGAATGTGTGAGTCGGAAGGGCGGGGAGAGCACTTCATTGAGATATAAATCTGACAATTGTCTGCTGACTGATGGGTGGTAGCCCCTGGTAGCTCCAGGATGAGCTGGAAAGATCCAGGCAGGATTAGGAAATTGGGACTTTGAACCCCACCCTCCAACTTCTGGAAAGGAGGTAGAGCCTGAAGGTTAAGGTGATCACCAATAGCCAATGGCTTAATCAATCATGACTATACAGTAAAGCCTCCAGAGAAAGAAAACAAAAAGCCTGGGTATGGGGAAGGTCCAGATAGTTGAATATGTGGAAGTTCCTGGAGGTGGTTTGTCCAGGGAGGGCAGGAAAGCTCTGCACCCCTTCCCTCATCTCTCACCCTATGCATCTCTTTATCTACAACCTTTGTAATATCCTAATAAACTGGTAAACCTAAGTATCTCACTTAGTTCTGTGAGCCACTCTGGTAAGTTAATCAAACCCAAAGAGGAGGCTAACAGGAGCCCTGACCTGAAGCCAGTCAGTCAAAAGTTTGAGAAGCCCAGACTTGCAACTGGCATCTGAAAGAGGGGCAGTCTTGCGGGACTGAGCCCTGTGGGATCTGACATTATTTCCAGGTACAAAGTGTCAGAAGCGATTTGGAGGACACCCAGCTGAGGTGCACTGCAGAACTGTTTGCCTAGTGTGTAGAGAAACACATTTCCTCACACAAGTCTTTCTCTGTTGATTGTTGTGGTGTGAGAGCAGTGGAAAATGATTTGGTTTTTTTTCCCTCAGAGAGTCATACAACAAATATATGGTCAAACAATTGCACCCTTTAATTGTGACCCGTGAACAATGCATGTAAGGATTACGTGCATATGAGAAACAGAAACGTGGGAGGGATGCGGTGGCTCACGCCTGTAATCACAGCACTTTGGGAGGCCGAGGCAGGCAGATCACTTGAGGTCAGGAGTTTGAGACCAGCCTGGCCAACACGGTGAAACCCCATCCCTACTAAAATACAAAAAAAAAAATTAGCCAGGCATGGTGGTGCACCTGTAATCCCAGCTACTCAGGAGGCTGAGACAGGAGAATGACTTGAACCCAGGAGGCGGAGGTTGCAGTGAGCTGAGATCACGCCATTGCACTGCAGCCTGGGCGACAAGAGTGAAACTCTGTCAAAAGAAAGAGAGAAAGAGGGAGAGAAAGGAAGAAAGAGACAGAGAGAGAGAAGAAGGAAGGAAGGAAGGAAAAAAGAGAAGGAGGGAAGGAGGGAGAAAGGGAGGGAGTGAGAAAGAGAGAAACAAATGTGGGTGTCAGAAAATACATTACTAATTCTCCTTGGTGGGAGAGTATGAGTAAAGTAGCAGGGTTGTGGGAACAGTACATGACTAGGTGGGACAGCTGGGAGCCTCTTTAGCAGAGTGGGTCTCTCAGTGAGCAAGCAGGAGAACATTGCAAGTAGGTCACAAACAGGTTGGGGAGATACTCTGGGAAGCCAAGGTTTACCTGTAAACCATGCTATCACTGTCTCCAGTGAAGGTTAGGGTTCTAGAAATGTGCAATGCATAGCCTTTGTTATCACATGGGCCTCCTGGGACAGATTGCCTTTATTATTTATATGCTTTAATATCAACAGGCAAGTCAGGGACTCTGCTTGGGAGAGGCTTACATAGAAAAATCCTCCTACATTAAGGAATGCATAGAAGAATATAATCAGATATGTAGATTTGATAAAACAGTATTATCTTTTCTCTCTAGAATTGGTTTCAGAATAAAAGAGCCAGACTTCCACCTGAAGAAAGACAAAGAATCTTTGTTCTTCAGAAAAACGGTGATTTCCTAGTAAAAGCCCATCCATTTTTAAGCTGCCAGGAGACCCAGGCTGCAGCTCCCAACTATGCCACCGAACAGAGCTTCTCTGATGCCCAGAGGGCTTTGATGGGTAGAGCTGGTTGCTCCCGTTTGGGGCAACAGGGGATTGCCCATCAATGGATGAGCTACAATTGTTTCTCTTTGGAGAACCAAGAGACTCCTAGTCAACAGGTGGGCCCTCAATGCTCCTACCTGGAGAAACAAGGGATGGCCAGTCAACAGATGGCCTCCCAGTGCTCCTATCTGGCCACAGGCACTGAAAAGCAACCAGACTGTGCTTTGGAGTATGGAGGTGATGCAGGAAGTGGGCATTCTACTGCCTATCACTTTCTAAGCTACAACTCTGAAGTATGCGTTCATCCTCCTCCACCTTCTGTGCCATGCTTTTATGGAGAAAGAACTGAAATCAGGGAAAGCCAGAATGCAAGTCCCTTCCTTTTGGATTATGCTCAAGGTGCATATGGGGTGAAGAGGCCTCAGGAAGAGCAGAAGATAGAGCACTGTCATTACTGATTCTGTCTCTCCCTGCTGCAAGAACAGCTGCAGAATGAATCGCAGTATCACCCGCAGCAGCACCAACAGCCTCTGAATCGTCTACAGGGGATGATGTTCCAGTAACAGCTGCCAATGGACTTGGGTCCTTCGGCTTTAGGGAAGCAGTGGCCCTCCGCTCAGTCACAGCTGCAGTCAACTGCCTCAGGATAACGGAAAGCCCTCGTGCTCTCAGCTGCAGCACGTGCCTCCCCAAATAGCTGCTGACTCATGCCTGCTGCCTCTAGGGCAACATAGGCAGGAAGAGACTTCAGAGCAATCCAGGGCCCAAGTGCAGCAGTTTTAGGTTGACGGGTCTACAAAGGCCTACCACAGGGACCCAAGGATGCAGCCCGGCAAAGTATTGTTAAGTGTCAGAGAACCATCGTCACAGGTCGGGGCCACAGTCACCCACACAGCAGACCAAAGCAAAGCCATCTCCAGAAGCCTCTGCATTAAAAGGAAAAAAAGGCAGACCAGCTGAGGTGAGATTGTTTGAGCCTAAGAGTTCATTACATGAGCCTAGGCGACATAGTGAAACGTCATCTCTATAAAAAACCACTTTTTAAAAAATTAGCTGGGTATAGTGGTGAGCTCTACCCGCTTTCTACACAGACACACACACACACACACACACACACACACACGCAAATTTAAGCCAGGCACAATGGCATGTGCCTATAACTCCATTTAATTGGGAGGCTGAAATGGAGGCATCACTTGAGCATGGGAGGTGGAGGCTGCAGTGAACTGTGATCATTCCACTGCACTCGGCCTGAGTGACTGAGCTCCTGCTTCAGAACAAACAAACAAACAAAACTGTCAGGAAGGCTCCATGAGCTGTTGGTCCCTTGTGGCAGAGAAGCAGTGGCCACCTGTGCTCCTGACCACATAGTTGATGGTGGCTTGAAAAAGCCTGACTCGAATTCGGGTCCGGCAGAGAGCGGGGAGCGACACAGAGCGTCGCGAGCTCCCCCTGGGCCCTCCAGGCCCTCGGCCCCAGGCCGGCGGGTGAGCTGGGGTCGCCGGGACAGGCCGTGCCCTCTGCCCTTCAGACACGGGGGGCCTCCGCCGTGGCTGCCCACTGGCCTGGCCAGGCTCAGGCCTTCACGCCGTGGCGAACCTCTCTACCCCACTCCACTTCGGTGACTGATGGCGGCGGTGGCTTCCCCCAGCCCGTACCCCAGCCTGGACCGTGCTGGCCGCTGGGTCTCCCGGCCCAAGTGTGCTGGGCCTCGACGAAGCCCCAGCCGAGCTGCCCGGATGCCAGGCCTTTGGGTGGCGACGGGAGTGGCCGCATCTTGAGGCCACGGAGCCGTGTGGATCCGGGTCCCCGGTGACCACTCTGTCCCCATTGGGTGAGACCTACCTAGTCCTGACGACGTCGGACAAAGGCCTTAGCAGGCCTGGGAGGTGAGCGCAGTTCCCAGCGACGACCGGTGGAACGGGGTTAGTCTTCTTTCTACCGGAGCTCGCTGTCGGGAGAGAGAAACGGTCGAACGACAGGCCACGTTTGGACCGTTGGAAAGGCCCACCACGCTCTGGGAAGATTTACTGGCCGTTTATGGAAGGCCTGTGTATATAATATGAAAAAGCTGCTGTCAAGTCCACCCCAACCTTTTAATGGAAAACATTTGTCACATCTAGCCCTTCTAGATGTAAAGAGGTTGCCGACGTGTGATAAAGTAGAGTTAGGAAACCACACGTCTTGTAAATTCTCATTTGTTTAAAAGAAATCATAGAAAATACATGTCTTCTGTAAGTGACTTTTGGAAATGGAGTTGTTAGATGGCGTCTGGAAGCTATATGTCCACGTTTGTTCAGTGGGTTAGAGGACGTGGAGCTGGAAGACCTGAGAAGCAGGAGAAGAAGGTTCTATGCCAGACTGGTCATATTTAGAAGACATTTTCATATTCTAGCCATTGTTTTGTGTGCATTTTATTCTTCACTACTGTATATATAGTTGACAATGCTAAACTTTTTTGAAGCGTCTGTTTTTAGATGTTCTGAAGTGCCTGATGTTAAAATTAGAGGTAGTAAAATCACATTTTGTAAATATCTTTTTGTTACAATTTGTAGGAAATGTTTTTTGGGGGGAATGGCCAAATCATCTGTTGAGTAATACTCACTGTGTGTGCAGTGGTTCAGGGGAGGAGGGAGGAGGGGGAGGTGCAGAGAGTTCTATGCCACCCTGCTTACAGCAAGGCAAGATGAATTATTGTATCTCTGCATTTTGTTTTACTTACCTGTGCATATAGTGTACATAAAGGACAAATGAGTCCTGTCTTTCTAGATGTTAAAGAGATTGCCAGTGTATGACAAGTAGACTTAGTAACCTAATGTTTTGTACATTTTGTTTTACAAGTCTAGAAAAGATTGTCTTCTGAAAATTTGAGCATTCTTGCCCACTGGGTTGATGGAGATGGGAAGGGTTCTAGGCCAGAATGTTCACATTTGGAAGGTTCTTTCAAATTATAACTGTTGTTACATGTTTGCGGTTTATTCAAGACTGCTCTGTAAATAGTGGATAAATTAACTCCTTTCTTGAAACATCTAGTCTATCTAGGTGTTTAGAAGTGCCTGATGTATGTCAAATGTAGAGGTAGTAAAATACCACTTTGTAAATATCTTTTTACTAAAATTCATAGGAAATACTTTCGGAAATTGAATTGTGAAGCCACCTTTGTGAGCAGTATAGTACTGTCTATACTTGTTAAATGGTTTAGAGGAGGTGGGAGGGAAGAAATTGCAAACAGTAATATTCTAGTGTGTTCACACTTGGACATTTCAGACACTATTTTTCTGTAGGTTTTGTGCATTTTCTTTTGCTCTCTAAATAGTGTATATAATGGACAATGAGTCCTAATTTTTCAACATCTAGTCTCTACATGTTGAAGAGGTTGCCAGTGTATGACAAAGTATTTAGTAAAATCAGCATATTTTGTACCCTTTGTGATAAAATTCATAGGAAAACTTGTCTTCAGTAAATGACTTTTGCAATGGAATTTGTTCAATCATCTCTAAGCACTATACATGCCTGTTCTTGTTCACTGGATTGAAGGCAGAGAAGAAAGAGAGGAGGGAATGATTCAAGGCCAAAATGGTCACATTTAAAAGATATCTCAGATGATAACCATTGTTAAGTGTGTGCAATTTTAGTTAACAGTGCTGTGTACATGGTGGACGAGTTATATGAAATATCTAGTCTTTCTAGATATTTGGAAGCACTTGGTGTATTTAAAAGTAGTAGTAGAATAACACTTTTTGTAAATAGCTTTTAAAGTGATGGGAAATGCTGTTGGGAAGTGGAATTGTGGAACCACCTGGCAGGTGGGAGGGAAGAAGTTGCAAAAGGTGTTTTGCCATTGTTTATTAGAAAATTTCAGCTTAATCCATTGCCTATGTGTTATGTGCATTTCATTTAACTTTGCTATACTGCATATATTATGTATATACTGGACAAAAGAGTCCCAGTTTTATAATATCTAGTCTCTAGATATTAAAGACGTTGCCAGTGTATGACAGAAGTAGAGTTAGTAAACTGACACATCCTGTACACTTTGTTAAAATTCACAGAAAGGCTGTCTTCTGAGAAAGACTTTCAGAAGTGAAGTAACATCAGCTCTAAGTGACACATGTGCCTGTATCCACAAGGTTGGTGGTGGTGAAGAGTTGGAAGGAATGAACAGTTCTAAACCAGAATGTTCCTATTTAGAAGACACTTTCAGATATAACCATTGTTACATGTGTGTAGTTTATTCAACACTATTGTGTATATAGTGGACAAACTTAAGTCCTAATTTGAAAATCTAGTCTTTCTAGATGTTTAGAAGTGCACAAAATATGTTAAAAGTAGAGGTAGTAAATAATAAACACATTTCGCAGCTGTCTTTTTGATATATCATCTTTTGGAAATTGATCAATTCTCTCAGCAGTACATTATGGTATCTGTGCAGGTTCAGGGACAAGGAGGAGCGTAAAGGGCTTTCCAACAGTGTGTTTATGATGAGGCACATTGATCATTGTCCCTTATGTCTCATTTTTATTAACTGTGCTGTGTATATAGTGTATATAAGCGAACATAAGAGTCTATATAGTGTATATAGTGTATATAAGCAAACATAAGAGCTAAAGTAATCATAATGTATTGTTGGGTTTGTAATATTAATAGATGTAATATATACACCACAAAAACAGGAAAGAAAGTCACATAGGAGTAGTATCTATCCGTATTTCACTGGACTTAAGCTAACATAAATCTGAAGCTAATTCTGATCAGAATTAGCAAACCCTAGAGAAACCATTTTTAAACACTCAAAATATACAGCAAAAGTTAATGAAAATGTTGGCCAGACATAATGGTTCATGCCAATAATCCCAGCACTTTGAGAGGCCAAGGCAGGGACATCACTTGAGCCCAGGATTTGCGGGCTGCAGTGAGCTATGATTGTGGCACTGCATTCCAGCCTAGGTGACAGAGATAATCTGTCTCTAAAAAAGAAAAAGAAAATGCTATTTAACATATTAGAAACTACTCATTTAATGCAAAAGAAATCAGTAAATATGAAGTAGGGCATCTTTTCAAATACCCCACTTACAATGGTCTCAGCATAATTGGGGTGGCCCCCATTTCCCAAAACTGAGGGCTGGGTCTTCCTACAGCTCTGCAGGACCAGATGACACAGCAGCGAACGACCACACCGTAGGACTGCCTCAGCCTTCTGCACCAATTCCAAACCCCATTCCTGCGGACCCTGGGCCAGAACCTAAACCAAAGATGCAGCACACTGGTGCAACATTGATTGCCCAAGATCAGGACTGAGCACAGACAGCCTGGTAACTCAAGAGCAGACTCCTGATAATGCAATGGACTATCAGGCACTGATAGTCCTGTTAACCAATGGCTACTGTGAACCGCTAGACAGAATCCTGTCTCCAGGTTAACAGGCCAAGAATGGACAAACCCAAGCTGTGGGCACCTTGGCCAATAGGAAACACAGCCTGTTACTAAGCAGAAACTGGACTCTAAGCCCTTAAAAAGTGACACAAATATTTTCTGCTAGCCAAATTTAAATTTTGTTTGCCTTCCAGAGCAACAAGGTATACTCACGTGTGACCCAGATGGGCACTTTAAATCCATATCCCAATCCCCACCAGGCTTTCAGTGTTCCTTACCTTCACCCACACTCTTGATTTTGTTTTGTTTTTTCACACACTCTTGATTTTGATTTTACCTCTGCCTCAGGCTACCACCAGTCAGGTGTTTAAGAACCCTGAGAGGAGAATCAAGGCCCTCACAGGCGTACC